ATAGGGCGTGTTTGGGACCGCGTTTCTTGCGGCGGAGGTGAAAATAATCCGAGAATCGCGCCAAACGCTCCCACGGTGCGATGATTGTTTTCCTCGCACATGGCATCGAAACTGCACAAATGAACTAGCGCCTGCGTTTTCGGCGGCGCGGCCCTCGCGCCGCGATACACGTACCGCACCGCGCGGTGAGTAACCGCGGTCCCAAACACGCCCATAGCATCTCCTCGCGCCGCTCCATGAGGGGGTGTTTCATCCAGGACTAATTTTTAGTTCCTGTACGTCGGATGTTCGGATAGGATTAAACATGAACTAATTACGTAAATACAGACTAATTTACGAGACGAATCTATTGAGCCTATAACAACTTGTTCTTTCCACGGATACTGCAAAGAACGCATGGGCTGCACGCCTATCACAAACTTTGGTTGCACTTGCACGCACGCACGTTGGATTCTATACTCTACCTCTACCGAGCGTGCTGCGTGATGCGTTTCTCTGCGTACGCACCTGTGGCTGTGACCCGGCCTCGGGCCTCGTCCCTGCAGGTTGCAGCCAACCGCGCCGAGGCAACTAGTTACGCAAACAAAAAAGTTTGCAGCTACTGCGCGAACTTCTGTGGAAAGAAGGTGCATGCCAGGTTTGGAGATGCACGAAGTGCCAGGCACGCACCGAACTGGGATTTGTCGCGTGTGGCTCGTGACCTTTTCTTCCTGCACGTAGGAGTGGAAGAATACATGGCCCATCTCCTCCAAAGTTGTTAATTCGTAAGACATGTGAATCTACCTGCCAACAGAAATTTTAAGTGTCCTTGTGTATTTAGAGTATGAAATAACCTACAGAGATTCACTCATATATGCACGCACACTCACACACTTATATGTGTACTTCCTCCGCCTCACAAAGAGTGTCATTCTCACTTACTGAAAAGTCAAATCTTTTTAACTTTGACCAGATATATATAAGAAAATATTAATATTTGTAGAATCAGTATCATTAGATGAATCGTTGAATGTATTTTCGTAATAAACTTATTTGAAGATATAAATATTGCTAATATTTTATATAAATCTAGTCAAACTTAAAAAAAAAGTTGACCATCTCACATCCCACCGTAACATTCTTTTTAGGGCGGAGGGAGTAGATCCTAAGATTGACGAACGTCTCGTTATTGATGTGCATATTGCATGCACACTTGCAAATCATAGTACAAACGTCCTACCTTTACGAGCACTTCTGATAAAAATGAACCGGCAGGTCCCAAGATTGATTGACGTCTCACCATTGATGGGCATATTGTCCACACCACTAAAAAATGCAAGCACATATGTCAAGTTGAGAACTAGAACTCGAGTTAGCAAGTTCCACTATAAAAGAACCTAACCAACTAAGTTACGCTTTGCATGACTATCTTAACGATGTGTTAAAAAATGCTACTTGAATCATGTGATTCCTCTTAATAAATAATGGAGAGACCTTGCAATTTTACTAGAGTAAATTTCACAAATCCAATACCACCCCTTTTTCTAATATCAAACACAATCTCAATAACATCAGTAAAAGGAGGTTTTTTTAAGTCTCTACGTTAACTTCACATGACGCATTAGAAAAGATAACAATATTCGACCATCAACATAATTCAATATATTCTATTTTTAAAAAGTCACTTACTCCCTCATTATGAAAATCTAGGTTACCCCAAAGTCTATATCAAAATTAGCCATCTTTGTCATTATAAAAAATAGACTAAACGCCTATATCTATACATAATTTATCCATGCCTATCATTATCAGAATACTCTAAAGTAATCCCTAAACCTATATATAAATTACTTACCTCTACCATTATGAAAATAGCATAACGTAATCTTTTAATCTTAATCCAAATTACCCACGTACATCATTACGAAGAAAAGAATCTGATATATTCATAAATGTGCATCTACATTACCATCTCTATCATCACTAGAATAACCTAAAGTAAGCAAACACCTAAGCCATTAGGAAATATGATCTAAATTAGCCCACTAAATTACCCACCCCGCCATTGTTAAAAGTAACCTAAAGTGTATTCTATGTTTGTTGCAGAAATATCTACATGTTTCACTATAAAAAGAAATTCCAGATTTCATATTTGCAATGACTTGTGCACGGATGGCCAAAGACTATGGAAGGATTCTTTATCCAACTATGGACTTATGTGGCAATTCAAGGAGATTTTAATTCCTCGAGGAGTATACAATTATTATCTTAAACACATCACACACAGGACATGATATATGCCATGTTCGCTTCTCTTATAATCCGTCTTTTTCACCTTGTTTTTTCAAATTTTAATGTTGTTTTTCTCTCAAAACAAATCAAATAGGAACAAAGAGTTTCGACTTTTTTTTTCGTGGTTTAACGGGGCCATAATAGAGAGTTGCCGTGAACACAGTTATTATGTTATGAACTTGGTTGATTTTATTTCACATAAAAACTAAACTTAAATTGTATGCTTCTGTCTAATTGTTCATGCTTCGTGAACACAACTACCAAAATGGTGGAATTCTCCTAGTGTTTTTAAGTAGTCTTAAAACACTATCACTAGTCATAGCACATGAGAATCTCACTATAAGGCATTTGGTAGGAAAAATTTATACTAAATTTTGAATATGCCAAAACACTAGGAGAACCTCACCTCGATAGGAGAGAATTAATATTCTGGTTTTGACTCATCTAATAGTGCCGTTTGTAAAACGGAATGGTGTTAGAAGATCACACTCAAATTATGGGTTGGACATTGGTACAACATAGATTCAAACTTGAATTATCAAAAAATATCATGAATTATCATGGTATTAATTTTGAACATGTGAAAAAAAAACCCCCACCGCCACTGTTCTAGTCTGGCTTCTCGCATACCGACGAGACGACATATATGCATGAGAAACGTAAGCACTCTCTGCCACATCGAGAAAGAGATGATCAGCTAGCTGCCACTCTGGCCGGCTGTATGTACCATGCATGTTGTGCTACACACGCTACGCAACACATGCAAGCTTGGCCGACCCCGACTGTCGGGCCTCCGATCCCTACAGGAACAAGACGCTTTGCCGCAAGAGGACAAGGGGCCTTTTTTTGACTGTTGTGTGTGGCCTCCTAGTCCCGTGCAGTGACAAAGCTAAAAAAAATTTAGGAGGAACTAAAAAAAATAGTTTTAGACTCTTCTACCTAATACATATATGCATAAAATTTTAAAAAGAAACTTAGAGAGCTCCACGTGCTCAGAATCGGCAGAGGTAGCTAGAGCCCCACCGCTGCCTCCATCACGGGTCCCGCGAACCTAAAAGGCGCCAAAAGGTGCCCCGGAAGCGAGGTCAAGATGAGATGAGATCTCTCTTGACTGACTCACGCGGCAGGCAGCCTTGCTCAACAACCACCGCCTCACATCCCCCTCCACTAACCCCTGTTTCCTTCCTTTTATTACTTTAGCAATATCACTGCAGCTCCATGCTTGCATCCTCACACACACACACACAAAAAGTTCCATGCTTGCAAAGCAAGTCTGAACGAACACCACTTTGGGATCTGTTTCTTCTCTCCATCTCTTTCAGTACAGAGTGCAGACTCATAAGAACGCCACTAGTTGATGCTATATGTATCGATGCAGTGGTTCAGCGACCGCGCACGCTTGCATGCACCTCATCGTGCCAAAGTTTTCGAGCTCAAGATCGACTTGAAGTAGATAGCTAGAAAGATGTGCATAGAATAGAAGGTTCTACGTATGTTCTTTTTCCCTTGTCAACTCAGTCTGAACATTATGCGAGGACCACGCGTAGCGCGAGTGGCAGGAGCCTGTGGCTTGCTCCGTGCCGACCAGCGTTCGAGTCCCAGACTCAGCGCTCGTCCCTCACCTCGGAGATTTATTCTCCATTAATAATTTTAATTGCCTCTCGCGCAGATGTGCCACAATGGTCAAGTGACGTGCCCGCCACGCTCGGAGTCTGGTGATCTTCGAGTATCTCTCAGCTGCGTTCGTTGTCTAGGTATAGTTGTAGGTTTGTTCGTATACCGTGTGTGTGAGGTGTGCGTGTGTGTGGTGGTGTGTGTTTTTATCCGAACAGATACTACCGCTGTACTTTGATGAGAGGAAAAAAAATCTGAACATTATGCCTGGGCACCTTTTGGAAGATTTGTTAGGCTTTCTGGTCGAATTAATAAGCTACGTACAGACCAAGCAAAATTCTCCATATACTACTAGTATAGGCCAAAACAAATTAGTTCTAGGCCAAAACAAATTTGAAACCTTGGATTCTCTGCTCATGGCTAAAGCCCAAACCAGTTGGTCGTGCGTGGTTTGTCCAGCAAAGCCTGGGCTACTCATTATTGCTGTGCACTCTCAGCCCTGTTCGGTTGGCTGGTTCGTTTCGTTGTTGGTTTATGAAGAAGTACTACTGGCTGGTTCGTGTGAGAGAAAAATATTATTCCAACTGAAAATTTACGATCGTTTACGACAAGCCACAGCCAAACGAACAGGAGCGTGAACCATGTATGGCGGCTTGCGATTTATTACTCCTACCAAAACTGTCGCTGCTTGTATGTAGGACCAACGCGCATGATGCATGATGCATGGCAGGCACAAAAAGGTCTTCGAAACCAACTGTTGTTACCGGCAAGAAAAACTGTTATTCTTTACATGCACATATAGGAGCAAAAGTACAAAGTACGAGGTCTGGTTCTGGTCCACACTACCCCAGGCCACCAGGGCACCATGCACCAGCCAAAGCAGCTCCCGATCCATGGATGGACCATGGATGACCCACAAGGCATAAGGCAAATTAAAGCAGCGGACCGACGCTTCTCCTCGATCGGGAGGGGACGGCCACTGGCCCCGCCGCCGCTTCGTGCAAGGGACACCGGTGCCGGTGGCGCATGCATTTGTTCGTCCGAGTCCGACCCCCGGCGTGGCTGGTGCCTGGTGGCTCGATCACACGTACTCACACTGATGATAGATGGCTCAGCTAGCTGCCCGGACCGGCGGGCGTGGGAGGAGGCGCCGCCCGGATGTCCTTGAGCACCCCCACTACCTGCTGCATCGTCGGCCGCTTGTCCGGCGAGTGCGCCGTGCAGAGGTACCCCACCCTTAGGCACTCCACCATCTCCCGCTCCGCCGCCTCCGCCTCCGCCCCGGCGGCGGCCTCGTCCCGCACCCTCGGGTCCACGATGTCCAGCGCTTTGCCGTCGCGGATGATGCCCCGCGCCCAGCTCACGGACGCCTCGTCCCACCCGGCCTGCCCCGTCATCAGCTCCAGCACCAGCACGCCGAACCCGTACACGTCGCCCTCGGGCGTCGCGTTGTGGTTGTGGTTGTGCCCGAACCCGAAGTCTGAGATCCGGGGCTCCAGGTCGTCGCACAGCAGGACGTTGGTCGGCACCAGGTGGCCGTGCACCACCGCCGACCCGCCGCCGCCGGCCCACCCCTGGTGCAGGAACGACAGGCCCCGGGCCACCCCCAGCGCGATGCGGTGCCGGGTGGGCCAGTCGGAGATGAACAGCTTCACCTCCGCCGCCTCCCAGATGTCGCCGCTGCCCGCCGTGTCGTCCATGTCCGGCCGCCCCGCTGGCAGCTCGTGCAGCCACCGGTGCAGGTCGCCCTTCTCCATGTACTCGTAAAGGAGTAGCTTCTCCTTGCCTGCAAAGATGATTTTAATAAATGAAGTCATCATCCAGAATTCAAACCATGGCTTTGTTTAGATTGGGTTAAGAATCAGTATTTGGCACTGTAATATTTTCATTTGTATTTAATAATTATTGTTCAATCATGGCCTAACTAGGCTCAAAAGATTCGTCTCGTAATTTACAATCAAACTATGTAATTAGTTATTTTTTTATCTACATTTAATACTCCATGTATGTGTTCAAAGATTTGATGAGATAAAGAGAGAGTAAAAAAACTTGCAATCTAAACAAGGCCATGCAGCTTTCTTGTGTACAAGTAGTAGCAGTATTTTCGCTACAACTTTTCATCTGTGCACCGAACCCAACTGCTCCAACTATACCCGGAATGCATGGCGGCTAAAATAGTGCTAAAAAGTTGGAGACCAGTCTACACCCATGCACATTTAGGTCCCGTTTAGATTTCAAAATTTTTTTGCGTGGTACCTGTCACATCGAATCTTATAGCATATGTATGGAGTATTAAATGTAGACGAAAAAAAACTAATTGCATAGTTGGATGAGAAATCGCGAGACGAAACCTTTAAACCTAATTAGTCCATAATTAGACACTAATTACTAAATACAAACGAAAGTGCTACAGTAACCAAAATCCAAAAAATTTTGGATCTAAACGGGGCTTACTTTGGCAGTTTCTACATTGGCACTAACAACACATGCATAGATTATATTTTGAGGATAACAATTCACCAAAAAAAATTAGCAGAAAAGTATTCATATTCACAAAGAAATTAAGCAAAATTGATTCTAGTAGAATGAATCGAATTGAGCTCACACACCTGCAATGCAGTAGCCAAGGAGCGGAAGAATGTTGGGGTGGCGGAGGCGCGCGAGCTCCCGAAACGCGGTGGCAGCGGCAGCCGGGTTGCCGTCGTCCTCGGCGAGCCCGGCCACGGCGCCCTCCACGACGCGCACGACGACGTGCAGGTCACCGGGGAGCACGGCCCGGTACGCGGCGCCGCTGCGGCCACCGCGCTCCGCGAGCTGCGACTCGCGGCCGAAGCCGGCCGTGGTCGCGGCCAGGTCGCCCAGCGTGAGCTGCATCAGCGGCCGCTCGAACAGCACCACGGGCGCTGCCGACGACGCACCCCTGGCCGCCGAGACCACCACGTCCTCCTCCTCCTCCTCGTCGTCGCCCTTCTCGCCCCATTGTGGCTTCTTCTTCTCGTCGTCGTCTTCTCCTCCCTTCTGCCGCCGCCTGCACCTCAGCACGCCGCACGCCACGCACCCGACCAGGCAGAGCAGCATGGCCAGGGACGCCACACCCGCATATGACCGCCACCGCCGCGATGCTCACACGCCTCCTCTTCTTGCTCCTCCTCGTCGTCTTGCTCTGATCCGTCGTCGTCGTCGTCGCCCACGGCCGCCGTGGCGCTGTCGTCGAGTTGTCCGAGAACACCAGTGACGACGCATTGCCGGTGATGAACGCGGCGGCGACGATGATGGCTGCGTCGTCGCGGCCGGCGCAAGAGGAGGAATTGGAGGAGTTGACACGGGCGGGAAGCGAGGTGGCGGCCAAGGGGAGGAGCAGGAGGAGGAGGAGGGGTGGACGTGGAGTGGCATCGCGCGGAGAAGCACGACGTGTGGAGAGCTGCACGTCAAGCAGGAGATTCGAGCTGGGGTGGCATTGAAGGTATTGAATGGACGCAGGGGAAGCTGGGGGGGACGGAAACAGAACACGGGTGGAAATGGGATGGTTTAATACAAGCTGGTGACACTAGGGAGAGTAAACTGAGGAGTTGCTGGTTTCCCACTCATTCTAGGGGAGTAGCCAGTCAGCGTATAGATGGTTCTGGTGTTCCTGCTTGTCCGGGGTTCTCTCTTTTCGGTTTACTAGCTTCACTAATCAAATATCTAAAATACGGCTATAATAGAATATCAAGGATTATTCTATATTTTATAGTGCTGTTGTTCGAGAAATCAGTTCATCGTAAATGAAGTACGTAGTATATTATAATAAGTTGATGATTTTATTAATTTTTTGGGATGACTTCATCCTTCTTGTTATTATGCATTAATAAGCATGTGTATATGAGGTTTCCGGATAATGTACACATTCCAGTTTCAAAACCAAACTCAATATTCACGAGTTAGAAAGCTAAAGATTATCCTATTCCTCAAACCAAACACTAAATTTGTGTATTATCAAGTCCGGTCTCTATCGACAATTAAAAGACCATTTGGTTGTGGAATAGAACCTTTAGAGAGTTCTTGCAGATTTCAAGCTCTCCCCCTCAGCCATCCACTTATTCATTGACCGGCTTGATTTTCCTGGTCTTCTCCATTTGTTTTTATCTCCTTTGTAAGGGCCCATTTGTCATAGCTTAAGCTTTAGGAATTTTTGGTGCTGATAGTCTCTAGCTCTAGAAATACTTGGAGCTACAATTATAGGAACATTAAAAGCTTCAAGTGGCGTGCCAAGTGATCATGTGAAAGCATCTAGTGCTATCACCTAAGCATATGGTGATAACAAAACTTCAGGGATATTCCAATTCAACATCTTTTGTATCTAGCTTCATTTCTTTGCATCTTATTAGGACCTCAATCAAGCCATCTAGTTTTTATAAGTGTGCACCACATCTATGCTCTAGTCTCAAAATAGGTAAAGCTAGTTACTACTTTCCACTCCCGTAAAAGTATGGCCAAAGGAGAAACAAGGTCTTAAACTACGTACTCTTAATGTCTTCACACCACTATTAGAAAATTTAGAACTAGTTAGTCCTTAATCCTCACACATATCCTTCACACCACTATTATTGAAATGAATGTATGCCCAAATAAGCCATAGTTTTTGCGAACTTAATTGCTTTAAAAACACACATTAGTCACAAATGATAATAATGACATTAATCATCAAAATTGAATTAGGATCTCCATCTGCATATAAGAATGTATTGCAATTGCCTTGTCAAAAACAACATTATTTCAAAGTCCATCATAAAAGCACGCACTATTCGCCTGAATGGTTATTTAGCCTGTTTACAAACCGTTTAAATTACACTACACGGTGGTACGCCGTTTCTGTTTAACCATCTGTTTGTCCCGTCTAAATGGCCGTTTTATCCATTTATGTAGTCGTTTTGTCTGAATAATGGCTAAAGGACAAGTGTCCGACTGTTTACCGTTTTGTATTTAGAATAACACTTAAAGCACTAGGACCAACCAAATTATTCAGATATTGAATTTGCAGATTCATGCATAAAAGGAGAAATATAATAATTTAGGGCTATGTTTTTTTTCCCTTATTAGAGACTGGGAACAATGAATCTACAAATAAGTATGTAAATCACACAGGCTTATCTTCGGCTACGCACACATCTTATTCTCCTTCTCATTCGATCTAAAGTAAGTAATGATGTTCCTCTTTACACAAACGGCTATCTTTGCCACTTATGACAAATGGCTGAATCATTCTGTGGCTTTATCTACTGATTAAGTTACTGGAACGCCTTTTGTAGCTGAGCCAAGTTGTGTGCAGTATAATTAGCTATGCATGCTTCAATTTTTGATGCATCTGCATGTCGTTGCTATTTAGCTGATACCATCGGGGCTAGGGCAGTATTATGTTTAAAAACAATCTGCCGTCAAAATATAGTGTGGTCCTAAAACGATTGTTCTCAAGTATAGATATCCTTTCAGTTGTGGATCAAAACAGTTACTGAAAAAATCATAACACTCAGCAAATGGTGATCCTGATTAGTTTCTCTTTCGAGTTATCTACTGTCCAAGATTAGTAGCACAATTTCTTCCCGAAAGACTAATAGACTGACAAACCTCTTTTTTTTGAGAGAATCAAAACACATCGAAGTGGTACCAGCCCAATCAGCATCTAAGGAAGCACTTACTTGAGCTGAATCTCACTGCATCCCGTGGTCCCCATAAAACCCAACCCGCAGCAGGGACAAGCGCCAATTCATCAGTTGGAACTACAGTTGGGATTGGGACTAAATAAAATTACCTAACCTTTCAAGCTGTGATCCATTAATCTGACGTACTGTCACTACTGCCGTGCTACATGGATGATGGCGTCAGCTCTGTTGGAAAGTTTACCGAGCATGTGAATTATGATGCCATTATAGGTGAAAAGGATCGCCTTTTCAGACATCTCCACTGAACCCACTCATAGTTTTTCACCAGGTGAATCGCATGCATGCTGAATTATTGTTTCTTAGCCCTTGACGCTAAGCATCTATCATTAAGCCTTCTTCGACCCATATATGTCTTACTAGGAGAAATTTTTGCATTTTGGTCCCTTTTGAAAACATTTTTTATAAAAAGATCTATGCCAAAACATTTGCTGAAAATAGACCATTTTTTAGGCGTCTTAGAACATGACGCCAAGGTATGAGGGTCGGCGTCGACTGACACGACGCCGAGGTCTTGCCACGTCACGGACGACCCCGGTCGACGGCGACACGGTGGCGCATGGGGTCCGGCACGTCGGCGTTGTGTCGCCTAACGCCACAGCCCAACCTCGGGCCAGGTGGGACTACACGCCGAGCTATTGGCACCATCCGCCATGCCCAGCGCGCCCAACAACGCTTCATGGCCCAATAGCTCTGGCGGGGTCACTTTAACGCCGAGCCACCAGACTCGGCGCGCGCGGCCCGACTCAACGCCGAGGTCTGGACTTTTGAAGCAAGCCGCCCCCCTTCTTCTTCCCCCCTCAATTCTCGAAAGTGCTGCCTCTCTGCTTCGTCTCCCCCCACGGCCCCCACAAAACCCTAACCCCCAAATGCGACCCTAGGTGTTCGGATCTCGTCTCCCGAAGCTTCCTCGAGGTAATGGTCCCTCCCCTCCTCCAATCTATCCGCGTAGATGTGCTTGCATTGTCTCTAATCATGTGGAATCATGGGTGTATGGTGTTTTGGTATATGTGTATTTGCATTTGCAAAATATATGGCTTAGGTTGATTGAGTGCATTGTTGTTTAACTGTTTTATGTGCTGAACATGTTAGGTTAGTTTGGTTTCTAGTTATTTTGGTCATTAGGGTTCTTTGTTTATTGTAGGTGTCATTAGGGTTAGTTATTTGTTGGTCATTAGGGTTAGTATGTATTTTAGTTATTTGTTGGTCATTAGATTTTAATTTTTTATGACTAGAAATGATTATGTTGTTGGGGTTGAAAAAGATGAAATGATATATTTTAGTTTCTACTTATTGGATTGAAACTCGCATGATATATTGATATGTGACACTACTTGTTGTGTGATGGCTGTAGATGGATAAATTAGTGAGGTCATGGAGGCCGTATTGTTAGGACAAGAGATGATAGTTTGGAATTTCTGGACATGTGTGAGGAGTTGTTGATTTTTTCTGAAACACCATCTTTGACCTAGTTAGTGGAGCGAGTGAAGGTTAAGTTAGGCTGAAATGAAGGAGACGTGCATGTTCAGTTTGAAGGTGTCATAGATGTTGGGTCGTCGAAGGGTCCTCGGATCAAGCGGTTGCTCAAACTTACAAGCGAGTCTGAATGGAATGATTACAAGGCAGTTGTATTGGCCTCAGAAGTGCGATATTTGGATTTAGTAGTAAGTAAGGAGTCCGGCTTAGTAAATGATAACTTCGAAGCATGCCCATCTTCCCCCGCTCATATAGGTTATGGTCCTTTGTCTGAAGAAGAAATACTTGTCACACAACTAGGCTACGGTGGTGGTGAAGTGTTTGGATCGCTCGAGCGTGATGGAGGTTGGTTTGAGGGCGGTGGAGATGAGGAGGAGAATGCGGTTGCCGATGGTGAGGGCAATCATGATAGTGATGAAGAGGATGATGATTATGTAATTGGTGATGCAGAAGAAGGTTTGGACGACGCTAGCGGAGACTTTTCTATTGAGGATGAGCTTAGCGACGAAGATGATCTTAGTGGTGAAGAAGACTTTGGTGATGCTAGGGCTATGAACCGTTTTGACATGGAGATAGCCGGAGATGATGAATCCTTCACAGAGGAGATAGCCGAAGATAAAGGCTAGATGCTTCATCTGAAAAGCCTACAACCATGACTGGTCATTTCATCTGAAAAGGCTACACCTGTGTTTTGTCACTTCATCTAAATGCAAGACATCACTCGATATTAATTCATTGCGATACGGATACAACAAGAAACGAATCTAGGCTTTTCAAAGAGTTTTCAAATAGACTTTTTATTGATCGCAATGATTTGTGTAGCCCTTTCAAGGATCGCAATAAAGACAAGTAGCCTTTTCAATGATACAAACAAAGTAGCACTACAGGTCCTAGGATAGTTAACGG